TCCTGATATCTGCTGCTGACTGAGTAATAAACTTGTCCTTTAGTATTAACTGACTCTCTATGGAGTCTGGTGATGGGGTATAGTTTCTTAAGGCATCCCGCAATTGCTCAAGGAAAGCTGTTGGGTTTTCTTCCCCTCCCTTTGGGGGTTAGGTTTTCCACTCTGCAGAGGAAATTTGGAAAATGTGGCCATGCTGTTTGGCAGAGAAAAATCAGCTGCCTCCTCCTTAAAGACTGTGTGCTAAATTGGTCCCAATTTTCCAGTATACACTTTAATGGGGACTTGAGCTTGGAAAGATTGGCACCTATCTGAAATCGAACACAAGGAATGCCAGCATGCCTGGTTAAAGAAATTATAGCCGTTTCAACCTAAGGCCTCCCTTAGGTAAAACGGGTACTGAAATGAAATGTCTTTCAGTAAGTACCCCAAAAGTTTGTGTGCCCAAGACATGTGATCCATCTTATCAGAGGGCCTCCCATGTACTGGATTCCAATCACGACCGACCAGCGTCATGGCACCACTCACTGCCTGCATGACTTCCAGTGACTACCACAGAGGCATGGAACGAAAGGGGCTGTTGGGTTGAGTAGTCACGTACCAACAAGCCCCAATGAGGCCAGCGAGGCTCAGGAGATGGGTACTAATATTTCCCAGCAAACGTCCAACTTACACAAGCCAGATTATAAAACTGCCCCAGAAGGGTAAACTTCTAGGGAGGGGCTATTAGAGCACAGAGTTCAAAGAAGGCAGGCTGGGCACGGCTAAGGCTGGAACGATACCCCCAGGACCCGGGCCTCCTCTCCCCTAACCCATCTTCCATCGTAGGAAAATGCTCTTAAGGTTGTGAGATCTGCCATTGACTATTTGGAACTGGTTTAACTAAGATCTTCTAGAGGGAAACGTCCTGCCATAGAGAGAACCAATCCTAAGCAAGACAAATTATACACCAAATACAAAGTCCCACAGCCTTCAGCTTCGGAATTTCCCCAAATCAAGACTGACTCCATCAGGCATGTGAAACAAGTGTTCTTAAAGAGACTGGACAGAATGGGGCCGGTTTTACTCGCGATTTTGAAGTCTTCTTCTCCGGCTGTACTCCTCTTCTGGCTGTACCCTTTTTCTGGTGTACCCCTCTCCTGCCCTCAATTTGTGGAGAAAAGGAGGACCCCCTCCCCCCACTGGCTTTTCAAAGATCACTTGGCCTTCACAAAAGAATAGGTCCCCTGGTTCTTAGTCTCAGAGTTCAGTAGGGGAAGGTGGTTCCCTGAATTTGTAAAAGCCCTCTTCTGAATCCGACAGTACCTGAGTCCCTTAAGAGTGGCCAGAGAAGAAAGAATCCACCAAGTTGCCATTCCAGTTCAGTAAGTTATAGATACATGGTTTTGACATAATGTGTTGGTAAGGGAGCACCAACCCATAACTAACCTCAAACCCGTGCGGTCCCTTAGCCCAGTTATTTCCAAAACCCTTCCCTGTCTGGCCAGCAGTGATGGATTACTGCAAACTTTGCTTAATTTCATTTGACCTACATTGAAAACCAAGTTCCAATATATAAATAACGATGAGTGCTAAGGTCCCCTGCATTTGGTCCCTCTGGGCAGCCTTTCTACCTACCAGGCCACAGTCAATAGTAATCACCATTGAACATGCTTGAGGCAATTCTTCCAATATTACCTTGCATCGAAGACTGCTCGAGAACTGCTCTAAGTGGAAGGACTGATATTGGCAACCAGGGTTCCACCAGGGGCTGCAGACAGCCCTTGCCCTTCAGGTGGGAAGGTGCCACTGAGTTCAGACACTCTGGCAATCCCTAGCAATCAACTTCTGATAAGCAAATAGGTGGAAAGTTAAAATTAGACAAAGACGTTATTACCTTAGAGGACAATTCAGCATTGGTGGCTAATCGAAACATACCCTTTCTACAATTTTTATTTTACTACAAGCTAGGATTTATTGTAGCCTTTTCTGTCTGTGCCAGGCACAAACAGCACTATGAATTGCCTACACCGTGCTACAATCGCTGGATTTTTCTCTATTATTATTACCATTTTATAGATCAGGACATTGAAACTCATGCACCCAAAGTTATGCCAATGGAATTGATAGAGCTAGGTTCTAACCAAAATATCTGGTCTTAAGTGATTACTTTTTTTGTTTGTTTGTTTTTGTTTTTCTATTTTTTGAGATGGAGTCCCACTCTGTCACCCAGGCTGGAGTGCAATGGTGCAATCTTGGCTCACTGCAACCTCCAACTCCCGGGTTTAAGCAATTCTCTTGCCTCAGTGTCCTGAGTAGCTGGGATTACAGGTGCCTACCACCACGCCCAGCTAATTTTTTTGTATTTTTAGTAGAGATGGGGTTTCTCCATGTTGGCCAGCCTGTTCTCGAACTCCTGACCTCAGGTGATCCGCTTGCCTCTGCCTCCCAAAGTGCTGGGATTACAGGGGTGAGCCACTGCGCCAGGCCAAGTGATTACTTTTAACCACCGCTCTGCAATTTACTACTGGGCGTAGGAATAATAATAATATCTTGATTGATGTTATTTGATTGATTAACGCCTACATAAAGTGTCTAGGCACCATACTAAGCTCTTTTTTAAATGTTTCATTTCATTTATAATTGACACATAGCAATTATACATATTTATGGGGTATAGTGTGATGTTTCAATGCATGGAGATGTTGTATAATGATCAATTAGGGTAACTGGCATATCTGTAACCTGAAACATTTATCCTTTCTTTGTGGTGAGAAGATTCAAAATCTCTTGTTATTTTGAAATATGGATTACATTATTATAGCCAGAGTCCCGCTAGTGTGTGTAACAGAACACCAGAACTTACTGTTTCTAACTGGAACTTCGAGCCTAGTGACCAGTGTCTCTCCATTCTCTCCTCCCCAACGACCCTTTTCTGCCTCTGATAACCATTATTCTACTTTCTAATTCTATGAGAACAAGTTTTCAAAAAAAATGTAATCAACAAATAATAATTGTACATATTCATGGTGTACATAAAGATATTTCAGTACCTACAATGTATAGTGATCAAATTATTAGCATATCCATCATCTCAAATCTTTATAATTGATTATATATTTGTGTTGGGAACACAACTATTCCCTATATTATTGTTGACATCCCACCGTGGTATAAAACACTAGAACGTATTCTTCCTATCAAGCTGTAATTGTGTACCGTTTCACAACTCTCTCCCTACCCGTCCCTGCCGTGGGCCCTTCTCAGCCTCTGGTATCTTCTGTCCTACTTTTTACTTCCTGAGATGAACTTCTTTTAGCTGCCACATACGAGTGAGAACATTCAGTGTTAACCTTTCTGTTCCTGGCTTATTTAACATAATATCCTCTAACTCTATCCACGTTACTGTGAAGGACGGGATTTCATTATTTTTTATGGCTGAATAGTACTCCACGGTATGTGTCTACCACATTTTTAAAATCCGTTCATGTGTGGTCAGACAACTAGTTTGATTCCATACTTGGCTATTGTGGATAGAGCTGCAATAAACCTCAGGGTGCAGATGACTCTTTGATATAATGATTTCCATTCTGTTGGATAAGTGTCCAGTAGTGAGATTGCTGGATCATAGGGTACTTCTATTTGTAGTTTTTTGAGGACCCTCCATACTGTTCTTCAGAGCGATTGCACTACTTTAAATTCCTACTAACTGTATAAAAGTTTCCTTTTTTTCTGCAACCTCACCAGCATGTTATTGTTTTCTCTTTTTAATACTAGCCATCCTAAGGGGGGTGAGATCATAGCTCATTGTGGTCTAGATTTGCATTTCCCTAAGGATTAGTGATGTTGAGCACATTTTCATTCATTTGTTGGACATTCGTATGTCTTCCTTGGAGAAATGTCTACTCAGGTCATTTGCCTATATATAAATTGGGTTGGTTTTTTGCTGTTGAGATGTTTGAGTTCATTGTATATTCTGGATACTAGTCCCCTGTCCGATGAGTGGTTTACACAACACTAGGCACCACACTGGGTTCTTTACACAGGGAATTCCATTTACTCCTCACTCCAACCCTATGATGGACGTGCTGTTACTACCACTCTCATCTCACCAACAGAGAGTTCAGAAGTTATGAACTTCCCCCAAAGTCACGGAGCCAGTGTAGCAGATGGAGCCGGGTTGGATGCCAGAGCCAGGCCCTCCAGCCCCACGCCTCACTGCTGCAGGATCCCGCTTATCTGCAGTCACGGCCACAGGCATCACTGTTAGTACCCAGAATAAGCATTTATCGAGCACCTACTGTATTCACAGAACTCTGATCAGGCTGAGGCAAACAAAGCCAAGGAATGGTAGAAACTGGGGGTTCAAAGCAGAGTGCAGGGCCTGAAGTCACTTCCTGGGCCAGGTTAAAGTGAAGGAAACATTCCTATTTTGATCCCTTTCATTGTTTATCATTCATACCCATAAACACCTTTAAGGGGATCAGTTTAGATGCAAAGTCAAAAACAAATAGGCATCGAATCAGCTCTTCCAACATTTTCTTATCCTGAAAAGAGTTCTTTGAAAGCCCTGTTTTGCTGAGACTCAGTCCTTTTGCATGATGGGTAAATCGGAGGAGACCTCTACCAGGTCTTATGTTACATATTTAACGTGGAAAGGCTGTTTCTCCCAAGAGCCTCGAGTTTTCAGAGACACTGTCCTCAAGCTTCCCCCCTTGTACAATACCCGCCTGCAGGCAACAGCTCCGATGCACGTAAGACTTAAATACAACCCACAGAAGTGCTGGCTGGTCTAGAAAAACCCGTTGCTAAACAGGAGAGCAATATTTTCTTTTTCTTTTCTGGAATTTGTAAACAGTATTTGTTCTCAGTCTTGCCTTTGAAACGTTCCAGCTGGCAACTTTGCTGGGCAGCTTGGAAGTAGAAGCAAACGCCAGCCAGGCCAGCAGGGGGCAGCAGACCCCACACTTTGCCCCTGCTGCCGGTGGGTGGGAGTGTCCAGCTCCCAAAACCTGTCACGGGCTTTACCCCAAGCGACTTCGGCCAGCAGATGGTACATGTCCCGAGGCTGCAAATTACGAGGTGGTAGCAGTGGGGGACGAGGCCGAGAGTGGGCAGAGCAATCCAGGGGCGCCAGGGTGGGAGCCGCAGCGGGCCGTGGTCGCCCGGAGGACTCTGATGCTTCTGGAGCCCGGGCAAGAGGCCCCGGGACCGGACCAAGGCCCCCTGCGGGGACGCAGCCGTGCGGCCCCCCTCCCGCAGTCCCAGGATGGCCGGGACAAGGCCGCCGGGAAAGGCAGGACGCTCGCACCTGCGCTGCCAGCTGGGCTTTTCTCCTTCCTCGCCCGGCCCGCGTTCCAGGGCGCGACCCCGCCCCATCCACCAGCTGGCTCCGGGTCTGAGCCCAGGTAGGTGGGTCAGAGCCCCCGGAAGAAGTGGGGGTTGAGGGCATTTCTGTTTCCAAGCGCAAGCCCGGGCAGCCCGGATGCTCCAGCCCCTGGACTCTGGACTGGAAACTGGCAGGGGTAGGAGAGGTTTGCAGGAGGCCGCCCTCCGCCTTCCTCTGTTCTAACGCCTGCTGGATTCAGGGAGTCCTGGTACTTTTATTTTTTACCTGAAAAAAATAATAACAGCAGAAAAGCCGACGTGATGGGTTACGCCTCCTTAACGTGCCCCGTTTGACGTTCCAAGCTCCTTCCACAGACTGACCTTCTTTTGTGCCATCAGTGTGATCCTGTGTCAGCTATGCAAAGCACTGTTTACTGAATCTGGTGGAAAAGGTAGGAAGTAGCGTCCCGTGGGGCACATTGATCCGGGTGGAAAGGGATGTGTATGCCCTGAAACACGGACAGCCACATGCCATGCTTGGTTTTGTGTAGAACCAACATGACATGATCTTTTCACTGATTTTCAGAATTCTGGAGAATTCACTTAGGAAAATAAGCATGAGTATCAGTGGATGACTAATGTGGGCATTTACCTGAACCGATATCTCGGAAGCAGCGCTCCTGATAGATTGACACACAGATTTTAATACCACGGAAGCGGCGCTCCTGATAGATTGAGACACAGATTTTAATACCACGGAAGCAGCGCTCCTGATAGATTGAGACACAGATTTTAATACCACGGAAGCGGCGCTCCTGATAGATTGAGACACAGATTTTATGTGGTTCCTTTTCACCATATGATCATCAGCTGCTTACTTCATAAATTGCAGTGGGGGAGGAAGGTACTTCCTATTTTCTCTTTAAATTTCTTGTCCCTTATTTAAAGAAGCAACAGGCCGGGTGCAGTGACTCACTTCTGTAATCCCAGCACTTTGGTAGGCCGAGGTGGGCAGATTGCCTGAGGTTAGGAGTTCGAGACCAGCCTGGCCAACATGGTGAAACCCGGTCTCTACTAAAAAAAAAAAAAAAATACAAAAATTAGCCGGTTATGGTGGCATGTGTCTGTAATCCCAGCTACTCGGGTGGCTGAGGCAGGAGGATTGCTTGAACTCAGGAGGTGGAGGTTGCAGTGAGCAGAGATGGCACCATTGCACTCCAGCCTGGGCCACAAGAGTGAGACTTCCTCTAAAAAAAAGAGAAAAGTCCTGAAGTATTTGGCTAAATACAAAGCTGTGTATTCACAGGGAGAGATTCCACAAACAAAGGAGGAACAACTGGAGGGGAACAGTGAGCTCGATGTAGACGCCAGAGCTCACATAGAACTTTCAGACTCTTTTCAGACTCAGTATATATTTTATGCTGAGTTTTTAAAATGAAATAGTTTATGTGGATGGGTACAAAAGGTACCAAAGGGAAACCTTAACAATGAGGAAGAATCTTTCTATAAAGAGAACAGGTGACAATATACACGAAGTGTGTGCTAAGTGTAAGGAGCAGCTTCATCCCTAGCGCACATCAGAAATGAATAAGAATAATCTATTTGTCACTGAAATAAACACGGCTCTCTGAGGATTGGAGTCTACATTCACCCTTTGCTCAGTCACTTGCAGTTTTGCTCTTCTCTGCATTTCTTTGCTGTTAGATGACTGCTGTGTTGTTGAATTGTATTTTGAGTGGATACTTTTGTTTGGTAATAATGAAAATTTTAAATTATAAAAAAAGTATATTTATCCTTTCTCTTCCTTCTAAACACCTGTCACAATAAAACATCATTCCCATGTGACCATGTGTGCCGCAGACTGTTTCAAAACCAGGCAGCCAATTAGCAATGAACACCAGGTGGTCCACCTTCAATATTAGCTGCTTGTTCATTTACATGCTCCTGGCACCAGCCCTAGACTCACATGTGCCCCAGAATAACATTCAGACTCTCAGTGGGTCTTGTGTTACACGCTCATGGTCTGGTTCACTCCCTGATATACACCTCTCTGCTCCCTGTCTCCTGGGCTGGGCTCAAGTCAAGCAGTCAGTGACAGGGTTCATTCCCAGTAAGAGAACTGGTTCACATGCCTCACTGGACATGTTGCAGCTTTGAAAACGTTCATCCCAGTGTTAGCACTTTCATTTGGTATCAAGTATTTCTCTGGCTTCTTAAACCATGGTAACGTTCACTGAGGAGGAAGTGGAGGATCCCAGGATGGAGCACCTTGCTCTGGGCACACAACACGTTTATAGTTTTACAGTCTTGGTGGCATCTCAGTCAGAGATTCTGCACACTGATCTATAGCCTATTCAATTTATGTGAAAGGACTTACTCAGCATGAGATTCCAGTCATGCACAGAATATACATGAGAAGTGCTTTGTCATCCCTACTTTCGAAGGTGAAGGCCACCAGCAGTTTCTTGTAAGCAACCGATGCCTTTCAAATGAAGCCTTGTATCTGTGTAGTCCATAGGCAGATGTGAGAGTGAAATGCTGTGTTCTCTGTTGCTCTGGGTCAGTGAAGCAAGGCAGTGCCAGCTCAGAGGGCTCTGGAGACTCAAGGCAGGCATGGCTGGTTGTGGGTGTTAAAATTGCCAGCAGAGCATCAAACAACAGCTGATGCTTTTCTTCAGTCCTGTCATCATCACTGACAAAGTAATCCCAGCCTGTCTGCCATCCCCAAATTATGTGGTTGCCGACTGGACTGAATGTTACACATCACTGCCTGGGGAGAAACCCAAGGTGAGATAAATTCCGTTGCCCACATAACAAATTGGTTTTGACCCATAGTCCATGTGACAAAATGAGCATTTTGAAGAAAGCTGTACAAATTCCTGCCTGTCAGTGTGGTCCACCGTTCTCCCGGTTTTGTCTGGGCACCTGTCTATGTCTGCATAATGAGTCTTCAAGGCACGTGGTCAAGGGGAAGAAGACAGTTTCTTTGAGTCTCTCTCTCTTTTTTTTTCAGAACATTTTTTATTCTATTTTAATTAATTTTAACTTTTATTTTAAGCTCAGGGGTACATGTGCAGGCTTCTTTTTCTTCCATAAGTGTCATGGGGGTTGGTTCTACAGATTATTCTGTCACTTAGGTACTAAACCTAGTACCCAATACTTAGTATTTCCGGCTCCTCTCCTTCCTCCCACTCTTCTCCCTCAAGTAGGTGCCAGTGTCTGTTGCTCCCTTCTTGTGTCCATGTGCTCTCATCATTTAGCTCCCACTTGTAAGTGTGAACATGTGGTATTTCTGTTCCTATGTTAGTTTTCTAAGAATAATGGCCTCCAGATCCATTCATGTTCCTGTAGGAGACATTATCTCATTCTTTTTTATGGCCACATAATATTTCATAGTATATATGTACCACATTTTTTTTTATCCAATGTGTCACTAATGGGCATATAGGTGATTCCAAGCCTTTGCTATTATAAATGGTGCTGCAATGAACATTCACATTCATGTGTCTTTATGATAGAATGACTTATATTCCTCTGGGTATATACCTGATAATAGGATTGTTGGGTTGAACGTTAGGTCTGTTTTTGGCTCTTTGAGGAATCACTGGACTGCTTTCTACAATGGTTGAACTAATTTACAGTCCCGCCTACAGTGTGTAAGTGTTTCCTTTTCTCTACAACCTTTCCAGCATCTGTTATTTTTTGACTTTTTGTAATAGCCATTCTGGTTGGTGTGAGATGGTTTCTCATTGTGGTTTTGATTTGCATTTCTCTATCAGTGATATTGAGCATTTTTTCATATGCTTGTTGGCCACTTGTATGTATTCTGTATAAAAAGATTTGTTCATGTCTCTCGTCCACTTTTTAATGGGGTTGTTTTGTTTCTTATACATTCGTTTAAGTTTCTTGTTTTCAGATGCATAGCTTGCAAATATTTTCTCCTACTCTGTAGGCTGTCTGTTTACTCTGTTGATAGTTTTTTTTCCTGTGTAGAAGCTCTTAAGTTTAATTCCATCCCATTTTGTCAATTTTTGCCTTCGTTGAGATTGCTTTTGGCATCTTGTCGTGAAATCCTTGCCAATTCCTATATCCAGAATGGCATTGCCTAGGTTGTCTTCAAGAGTTTTTAAAGTCTTGGGTTTTACATTTAAGTGTTTAATCCATCTTGAGTTGATTTTTGTTTATGATGTAAGGAAAGGGGTCCAGTTTCAATCTTCTACATATGGCTAGCCAAAATTAGCCCAACACCATTTTTGAATAGGCAATCATTTCCCCATTGTTTGATTTTTGTCATCTTTGTCAAAGATCAGATGGTTATAGGTGTGGTCTTATTTTTGAGCTTTCTATTCTGTTCCACTGGTCTATGTGTCTGTTCATTATTTATTTTACCAATACCATGCTGTTTGGTTACTGTAAACTTGAAGTGTAATTCGGAGCCAGGTAACATGATGTCTTTAGCTTTGTTCTTTTTGTTTAGGATTACCTTGGTTATTCTGGATCCTTTTTGGTTTCATGTAAATTTTAAAATAGTTTTGTTCTGGTTCCATGAAGAATGTCATTGGTAATTTGATAGGAATAGCATCCAATCTGTAAATTAGTTTGTGAAGTATGGCCATTTTAATAATATTTCATTTTTCCAATCCATGAGCGTGAGATGTTTTTTCCATTTGCTTGTGTCATCTCTGATTTCTTTGAGCAGTATTTTGTGATTCTCATTGTAGAGATCTATCACCACCCTGGTTGGCTATATTCTTTGTTGTTTTATGCTTTTTGTGGCAATAGCAAATGGGATTGTGTTCCTGATTTGGCTCTCGGCTTGGCTGATGTTGGTGTATAGGGATGCTAGTGCTATTTGTACTTTGATTTTGTATCCTGAAACTTTGCTGAAGTTGATTATCAGAGAAGGAGCTTTTGGGCTGAGACTATGGGGTTTTCTAGATACAGAATCATGTCATCTGCAAACAGGGATAGTTTGACTTCCTCTCTTTCTATATAGATGCTCTTTGTTTCTTTTCCTTGCTTGATTGCTCTGGCAATCAAGGATTTTAATACTATGTTGAATAGGAGTGGTGAGAGAGGG